GAACTGACTGCCTAAACTGAACACACTCAATGGCTAATCTCATTCAAACAGAAAGGAAATAAATCTTTGAGCAAACACTGAAATGAGCATTTAGATCTAATGTTTATCAACTTAATTTTGTTTCTTGTGTTGTATACCAATCATGCAGACATCTAGCCAATACAAACAGGGGACATCCATAGCAAGGACTAAAACGAAACAGCATTTTGCAATCCAATTCTCCCCCACTGAAGCAGCAACGAACCATGTCACATGACCTTTCACTTTCAGCTTGCCAATGTTTTGTAACATTAATCTGCACTTGCAAACACAAATCTGCAATCTGATTTGATCCCTGATGTGCTTAGGGCACTTTTTCTTTTGCTTCAAGCTCTAGATCTGCTCCTACAAACCTTACTTATAGACTTCTTGTAGACTTCAACAGAAATTTTGCTTGGGTAAGAAAGGCAAGTTTTAAAATCAAACTGAACTGATGCACTCAAGTGGGCTAAACTTTTTGGAGAGTTGATATATCCAACAGATTTTAACAACATTATGAATATATTGTAGTAAGTCATAACTACCTTCAGTCAGGCTTTGAATTTGCTAATGTGCTTACTGCAATTTGTGAAGGGTGTCAATACATTCAAATTAAACAGCTTTTTAACAACTCGTAATTCTACCAATCTCACACTAGAACCATGAGTCATATTAACCCTGTAATAATCAACTCCATGATTATGTTGGCAGCCACTATCCTAAGCACTCTCTTTTGCTGTGCTCAAAGTTATGGATAAGAGGCTATAGCATACCTAATGTCCTTTTAATATTTTCCCTTTGTCAGGGCCCCCTACTGACCCAAAGTATGGCCTCCTTTTTAAAAGAACCATGAAAATATTTTGAGATGGATATCTCCAGGTCTGCTACAGGCCATCTTCTATTCTTATTTATCAAGATTCATGGCAAATGGAGATGCTAGACAACACAGCCTAAGCTTGTATTCTACTGTGCCTTTTCACAGTCACTATGGCCTACGCAAAGAGCATCACCATATCAACACCAGTCCATCTGGATGTGGAAAACAAACAGAAGAGCCCCTGTAAAATTGATTTGCCCAAGGGTCACTCTGGCTATAAAAATAAATACCAGCTACAATCCAAACACAGCAAAGATTGATCCTCTGAAAGCAACTGTCATTGAGAGATAATTGTAATCTAATTTTGCACCTTTCCACATTTATTCACATTTCCTTTGTGAGCCCATGGGCAGTCCCTTAAAGCTGTGTATGCTGGCAACTATACACAATCAAACATTCTGTTCTGAATTAATATCAGAATTTTTATAAAAGTAAGTTTGCCCCAGAGAAACACTGATTTCAAAACCCAGTCCCAGTTACACTGTCTATACACATGCTTCTGGGGGAGGGGGTGCTGTAATTAGAGCAGCTCCAATGCTAGGGACAGAAGTTATGCATAAACAAAAGTTATAGATAAACTGGTTTAAGTGATCAGAAACTAGTTTCAACCTGTAACAGAACACAAGCTCAGTGCACATAAACCAGTTTCAAAGTGGCTGACACTGTTTTATGATAAACCTGGTTGAATGCAGTATCAGACTTAACTGATTTGGGTCAAACCAATTTATGGAACTTCTGTTCCAGACCCCTTCCTGGTTCAAGTTAAATTACAGTCCCCCAGCATCCTTTATAGCCCTGGACGGGCAGTGCTGTCTGCTCCAGAGAGCAGGGCTAGCCCTGCCCCTCTGCTCCCTAGCTGGACAAGTGAGGGCTGGCTGACAAGGTGGTGGTGGGGGCAAGCCCAGCTGGGGATGCAGCCCCCCGTCTGCAGGGGGGTGGAGGGGTGCCCCCACAGGCAAACCCTTGGCTGGGGGCTGGGGCCAGGGAGTGGAGTTAAACAACTTTTCCCCCACTCAAACTTACTTCTGGTTGTGACTATGGATTACAAATCCCAGAGGCACCTGGAAGCAGGAAAAGGAAGTGATAAACAACCCTGCAGAGTCCTACTGCTGTAAGTCTGGACTGCAAGTCCCAGAGACCTTGGAGGCAGCAGAAGAGGAAGTGAACACATAGCCCATGCTGGCTATGTGCCAGAGAGCCATGCTCGAGTGCCCCCCAGCTTCTGGCCTAAGCCACTGTTTCAAGTTAATTTGTGAAGCTTAGATTGACCTGCAACAGCCAAATCAATTCAGCCTTGGCACTTTTGACTGTCTGTATTTAGCCCAAGAACCTCTCTAATTAAAGTGCCTGCAGCATCACGTATATTCAGCATCCCAAATTTCAAAATGGTGGGCGGGGCACTTGAACTAAAGCTCACTTGACAACCTTTGAAGTGCCCCCACCACCATTGTGAAGCATGGGGATGCTGAATATGAGTGACATGGAGGGTGCTGGAGCACATTAATTAACACGCTCTGGTGGACTCAGTTAACAGAGTCTGCTCCAGCGCGTGCTCATTAGCATGTGTCGGAGCAGACATCTGGCACATGTATAGGTGCCCTTAGATTTTCCACTCTTTTTTTGACTTTATAATCCTCACAGACCACAGACCACTCTTTTACATTTCCCTTACACACATACACACTGACCCACCCACTCCTGTCATGGCTTCTGCAGCACTAAAGTGACCAACTTCCAGGAAGCAACATCTGAGACAAAATCCTAGACATGCTATAGACCTCCAAAATGAGTAGCAGTTTATACCACCACTATCTGGTTCCCATTACTGTGGTTTCTATAGTGAGGTTCTTCTGATTAACTCCATTGAGGGGTGGAACTAATAAGCTTTGGTGAAATCTTGTACGAACATGCCTGTGTTGCTCCACACTTCGGAAGGAGCCCACAGCTACTACCATTTATGCAGCCCTGTGCCCAAGCCGATGACTTTAAGTGCCGCTGAGAGGCTGTCCTGCGCACAAGCGCTGTGTGAACATATTCTTAGTGCTTCCAGGAGGCAGCCCATGGCCTATTAAACCACTATATTGTCACCTACCAACTGAAAGCAATATAGCTGTGTTCCAATGGCTTCAGGAGGCAACATCTGTTGCACCTTCACAGCAGAAGTTTCATGGCTGTTAATGGAACAGGGGTCCCTAAGCGGCTGGGAGCCACATGCAATTGCTTGGCTAGTACTGTCCTAAAACTATCCCTGAGCAGGACACTACCTATTGCCAATCAAGGACAAATGTTCTTGGGGACTGACTCCTTTAAGGAAGTCTTGGAGGCACAAGGACACAGCCCCAAAATTCAGGGCTGTCCAGGATGGTTGATCAATCATTTTATCTAGCACTGGGTACAAGACAATCAACTCCCTCTCTGATCTCTTGGTTCTAATCCTCTAAGGGAACTTACAAAACATCTTTCATAGATGAGCCTATGAACTTCACTTCATAAATCTACTGGCTACAAAAAATCATGGACTCAATATAGACATTGGATTTATGACACATTACCACCTGCCTGACATCTGATTCACCACATACCTGCCAGACCTGACCTCTTACACTTGTCTTTCCCCCCTCACTTTCTTCCCTCCCCTCCTTTTCTGCCCTGTCTTCCTATTTTCCAGCTATTTACTTTTTCACAGTCAGCTTCTTTTCTACCTTGAATTACTACTGTAGAGTCTCCCTTACTCGCCTTTGGTTTTTTTTCCCTCTGCTTTTCCACCCCTCCTGTCTCTGCTCTATCTTTTATTTTCCTAATTTCCACCTATTTATGTACTCACTGACATCCTGTCACCCTTTTAGCTTTTCTCATTCCTTGGAGTTGCAGAACAGCAGAGACTTCCTACACCTGAAGCAGGGTGATTGCACCCAAAAGCTTGCAAAGAACCTTTTTCCAACTACACAGTTGGTCTAATAAAAGATAGCATATCTACCCAAAGAACCTTGCCTGCCTATGTCCTTAGAGCAACATGGATACAACCAAAATCCCATTTATCCAGTCCCCTAATTTAGTTCTATTCCTATCCACAAGCAAGGCAGGTTCCACTGACAACCAAGCAGTTATAGAGATAGGTCAACACTTTCATAAGCAGGTATCATCCTATTCAGGGTTTAAAAAAAAACACACAAAAAAAACAGCTTGGGAAGGTTGTAGATCCACTCTCCATTTTTTGTTTGTTTGTTTTCATAGCTAATGATACCTTATTCAGAAAATCTTGGTTGCTCCTTACACATAGGGAAACTTCAGGGATGCATAACAGCACCCAGAGCTCAGGGGTCTTCAACATTCAGATCCAAGCCTGACTATCTGTTCTTTTAACTCTCATGGTCTACAAGATTTTGCATAGGTCATGGGCATCTTATTTTTACATGCTGTTATTGAAGAGCTGGCAATGGATTCATTTCAACTGGGCCTCTTCTTTAAATTGTTAAAGTTATTTAAAGTCCTACCTGGTTGTCCAAAAGCTAACTTTAGGCCCATGGTTCAGAAAGTATAATTTATAATCCTCAGCTGTAGGAAGGCACTGGGTTTACAAAGATGGAAAGTGACAAGAATGTGAAGAGTAAGTGAATCCAGAAATTAACTAATTCGATCAAAGGACTTTTGTCTTAAGATAGGATACTCAGGCACCTTTATCTTAAAAGAACAGGTTATTTTTCCCCTTTTGAAAGGCATCCTGTGTTTTTATGCAAAGATCTCCCTTTCAAACTAATTTTCCCTCTAAGGTGATGAATTTTACCAGGATGTACATTGCTCAAAAGTCAGTGCCCATTTTAAAAATGTCATTGCATCTCTATTCAACAAAGCCCATTTTTAAGGGTCCAGTATTCATTGAGCCTGTGTATTTCTCCCCCTGGGAAGTAAAAAGAAGAAAAAAAGTATTATTCTATGCTAACGCTGGTTAATAGCAGAAATAAAGAAAAATTACAACACTTTTAATCCACCATGATCCCTCCCAAATACATTTAAATTTGTAAAGCAACAAGAACATTTTCACAGACAATGGTCTGGAAGTTACATTAGTTCCCAGGGAATTTGTAAAGAGTTTTTCTCTTGTTACCTTGGTAACTGCTACCTTGGCACCCTTGTTGATAAGCTGCACCACATTATCCACTTGGCCTTTGTATGCAGCTATGAGAAGGCGTTCTGAAAGCACAGCGACCGCATTCTGCTGGCTCATGAATTAGGAGAGAAAGGTTTTCAGGGCAAGCAGTGGGCAAGTTCCTTTAGTCCAAAACAAAAGCTTCAGATCAGTCCAAGCAGTGTTCACAGATGCCAAAGAGGGACTCCAGGTCACTGGAAGGTGAATTTATTACTATGCCATTTTCTGGACCTGTGGATTAGAAAACAAAACCACTATCAGGAACCTTTTTCAAGCTAAAACACTATGGCAGCTCTGAACTGCAACTCTGCAATGCTCCTGGGTTTTTTTCAGTTGGAAATGGACCACACAAAGAAGGACAAAGCATCCTGAAGCTGGAATTATTGCTTTTCTACATTCAACAGACTGGGATTTTTATACAATGCATTTTTGTGTATATCCTCCTACCTCCTATCTCATTTCCCATTCACAAGGATACAAACAGAATCATGTTCCCACATAGGTGCTAACTCTATACCACAATGATGACAGAAAGACTCCAAAGACACTGCACTACACACAGCTCATCCCTTTGCAAGGTATTCCAGGCAGGTTAGTTGTGAGACAGCCTCTCTTCCCTAGCATTCCCTAGGTTCAGATTTCTAGGACGCTGAATCTGAAAAACACTTTGAGCTTTAGGGATAAAAATCCATTCCCTTACAGGGATAAAATGTCCCAAATTACTATTTGAAAGTGTTCTTGCTTTTCTGAAATAACTATAATAACTACAGTATGCATAGTGCTTATTTCCCTCCTTTATGAAGATATAATAAACTTTTTAATATGCAACTAGTATTTCCATTTTGTTTAGTTTAAGCACATTTTGTGTGGGGAGGAAATTATAATGGAATATTATCTTTCGCAAGTGTTCCTTACTATTTAATAGCTCTTTGAATGATTCTATGAATTGTTTGGTAGCCTCAGCATAGTTGTTATTAAAGAAACACCCGTATTATAGTCCCACCACAGTATGTTCTGTTATTTTTTTTGGTCCAAGCTGCAGGTGAAATCATGCCCTGAACTTCCACCCTTTATAGATTGAGGTATATTAGTGGGACACAAGGGCCAGGGACAGACATTACACATAAACCAGTTTAAGTGATCAGAAACTGGTTTAAACCTGTAACAGAACAGACATTCAGTGCACATAACCCAGTTTCAAAATGGCTGAAACTGGTTTGAGACGCTGGCCCCAGAAGGGAACAGGGAAGAAGTTTATTCCCCCCCTCTCTCCCTATCCCACCAGCATGGACCTGCACTTCTCCATGCTGGCTGCTCCAGCAGCAGGGGCATGGCCAGCTCCAGCAGTGGCCTTGGCCGAATTAATTCCCTCCTCCCTGTCCCACTGGCAGGAACCCAAGCCAGGTCTGCCGGGCACTCTCCCCTTGCTGCTGCAGTGGCAAGCTAGCACAGCCGCTGAGGCAGAGGGAGCAGGAAGACTGCCCCTGGGAAACTACAGCCAGGTCTGCCCACCCCGACCACTGCCGTCGCTCGCTCCCTGCTTGGGGCAAGGTGCAGAATAAGCCCCCTATTGCCAGAAGCCAGAGGGAGGAGGAATAACCCCCCTCCCTGCCTCCTGCCTAAAGAGCCCTACTGGCCAGGCTCTGGCCACACCCCCACCAGCAGCAGGGTGGGGGCACGGCCAGACGCCAGCTGGCAGGGCCCCTTAAGCGGCAGGCAGTTATTCCCCCCCGCCCTTCCCTCTAGCATCCAGCAGAGGGGGCAGTAGGGGACTTATTCTGCTGCTTGCCCCAAGCAGGGAGCAAGTGGCACCAGGGGTTGGGACCAGCAGACCCATCTGTGGTTCCTCGAGGGCAGTGAGGGTAAAGGGGTAAATAACCCCCCTCCCTGCCCCCTCTGTCTCAGGGGCCATGCCGGCCCACCTCTGGCTTTGCCTGGCCCTGCCACTGCAGCAGCAAGAGGGAAGAGCCCGGCAGACCCGGCTTGGATCCCTGCTAGTGGGACAGGGAGCAGGGAATTAAACTCTACTCTGGCCAGTTCAGCCAAGGCTGCCCGGGCCAGCCATTCCCCCCCACCCCAGCACAGCCTCCCTGCAGCTGAAGGCATGTTCTAGCAACCCCCACCCCTGGCTCCTGGCCTGAGCAACTGCAGGCATATGCCTGCATTTCCTCAGTCCAGAGGGAATGTGTGTACAGTTACAAAGTGGTTCAACCTAGGTAGACTAACCTGCAAAGGCTGAATTAATTCAGGCTCTGGCTTTTTGACTGTCTGTCCCTAGTGTAAGCTAGCAACAACTATCTCCCTCATCCCCCTCCACCCCACATGATGTTACTAACCTACATCAGTATCAATATCCAATGAGCTAAACACTGTGAGTGAGATTCTTTAATATGCACCAGTCTTACACAAAGGTAAGATCTACTAATATACTTTGGCAACACAAAACAGGTTTAAACCCAGTAACTGGCAAGCTAAGTGGGGTTCACAGTTGCTTTGCCTCACCTGAGCATCCATGTGCACTTAAACTACACTAAACAATTTTTTCTAAGGTTGTACACAAGCTCATTGTTTTAAATGTCTGCTGATGCAAGCCAATGTTTTAAAATATTTTTGAGTTGGTTCTAATGATCACTTGGCAGCAACAGGTAATAACAATACCTCTGTAGCAACTTTTATACCCACATCTCAAAGTGGCTAATAAATATTCCTGAGAATTAGGCAATTCTGTTTACATGCATTTTGTAGTCGTGTTAGAGCGATGGTATAGTCATGTTGGTCCAGGAATGAAGCAAGGATTTTTTTAGGCTTATATCTTTTATTGGATCAACTGTATAGCTGGAATAAAGTTAGACAAGTTTTCAAATGCAATGCATTTGTCATCCGTTCTGGAAATCAGTGAACAGGCACACAAAAAGTTGAATGATTTCCCAAGACCAATAACAATTTACCATTAGGGCCAAGAAATGATTCTCAGAACCCAGTGCTCCAGACCTTGCTCTAAATATTAGCTCATACTGTTTCCATGTAGAAGCCTCAGGTTTGATTTCCACTCCTTTCCTCCTGCTTTCTAGGTTGGGAAGAAATAGGGATGTTGCGGAGGCAGCACACTGAACCCCTCTGAGGAAAGACTGCTTGGTGGGATTCAAAGGCGATACAACCGGGGTAACTGAGGAGTAGGATTAATGTTTGTCTGGTCTTCAACCAAACACCTGATGGCTATGCTAGGACGTCAGACTATAACGAGGATAAAACAAACAGAGTCCTCATATCTGTAATGGGCATGCAGATTACATCATCAGCAAACAAAATCCATTGTTCTTTTCCAGTTTGATAGATAGTTCAGTGGCACAGGTGATATTTGCCATGCTGGGATGAGCCCTATATGCCATGTGCCACATTAGAAAGCCATGAAATCTATATGGTATGTAATAAATTATGAAGAAAAATGGATAGTTAGATCTTATCTCCTTAAGCATTCACTTTTCAGTATTTAATGCCATTTAAATAAAATGAACCAACCAGATCTATAGCTGTTGTCATAAATGCATCCACATTATTTCATTCACATTCCAATTCAGTCATTTGACTAATCCAATGTTTTTCTCATTCCCTTCCCTTCATGACCATTATCAAGAAGCAGGGCAAACCTTACAACAGGACTCTTTCTCTATAAGCTCTTTAAGTAGGGTTGGGTATTTAACTGATCAAATAAAGTTCAGTCAATTGACCAGTCAACTGTCAGTCAAAAATTGTGAAAAATAAGTCCAAATAACACAGAGAAAAAACACAAATTTTCCATTTTGAAATGTGTCAAAAAATAATAAAAATAATATTTCTGTAAAAAAACTACAAGAAACGTAGGGTTTTTTTGTAAAACCGTTATAATCTTTGAGCAGTCAAGAATATGCAGTCAACTGACTAGTCAATTATCAATATTTAACCGGTCAATTGACCAGCTTGCCAACCCTATCTTTAAGCAGCAATGTTTGTTTTTTTGCCAGTGTGTGTCTGTGTAACAGGGGTGTCTGAAAACATGCTTGCAGACAAGCATACTATGGTTTCCAGCTCAGTTTTACAGCTACTCATTTACCCCTTCCTCATTTGCCCTTATCTTGTTGCTCATGCCGTTGGAGATCTGTTCATATACAACTATAATTGGCTTTGATCATCTTAAAAAATCTGTGACCAGATGCTGTTTATTTTTTTTCCTTCCAAAAAATCAGTATCATCTGTGAGATACGGAGAGCTTAACAAAGAGTATCTCAGGAAAGAACAATGCAAACATCTTCCTGGCAGTCAGACATGACGGAGGAGAAATCAATGGAGGCACTTTGCATGCTTTAACCACACAATTAGAAATGACAGAAATGCCCACTAATACTCTAATGACTTGTGGCTGAACAGGTGTTTAACATCAACACTGCAAAGTCAGGCTCTCGCATAAAGCTGCTAACAAGTCAAATGTTAGAGATTATACTCACTTTTTGGTCTGATTGTTTTCTCTATCTATCTTGCTCTCTTTCCTGATTAGCGCAGTAAATTCTTTCTTGGAGAGATCATTAGCCTCTTCAGCCTGCCATGCTCTGTGATTCTGTAGTGATTTACAGTTACAGCACTGCTGCTATAATGTATTTTTCTTTCTTGCCTCTTCCACTGATTGAATCATGTATTAAGCATATTAAAGAATTGATCTGACTAGAAATCTTTTACAGATTTTTGCTGTGATATTTATGCCTCCTAAAGTCATCTTGTCGTCTTTCTCCTTTGCAGAAGTGTGTTGACCTATGAGTTACATTCCTGTTTTTTAATCCTTTACATTTTTTCAGCTATTCTGGACTGTGGATTACTTGCAACTCAGCAGAACACATTAGACTGAAATAGAGCTTGAATGACCAAGAGATCCATTTGTCCTCTCCTCCGAGGAGATGCAAAAGGAGAGAAAAGGGAAACTCCATCTGCCTCATCTTTACTCTAACAAATAACTCTTT